GAACTCAGGACAGCATCGGCCGAGTATTTCGTCCACAATCTCATGAGTCCCGTCTATTTCTACAACAAATTCAAACACTTGCCATCAGATGCCCTGATCCTTGAAATAGGACCGCACGGACTGTTCAGTCAAGTAGTGAAGGAAACCCTCGAATCGGGTACTTATGTGTCACTCATTAAGAAAGACTCAAACGATACAAATCTGGATATGTTTTTGGCTTCAATCGCAAAGTTGTATGAATTAGGACTCAATCCTTTGATTGAGAACTTATACCCTCCCATCCAATGGCCGGTCGCTAGAAGTACTCAATCGATTAGTTCTCTATTGAAATGGGATCACGAATACAATAATCTCGTTCGCAAATATCCTGACTATCACTTCAGATCGTATGCCTCTGACATGAATGAAGTATACAATCCGTCACAAAGTATGAAAGCTTTTATGCCCGAGCATTGCATTGACGGCAATGTTTTATATCCGGCCACCGGTTATCTGATGCTCGCCTGGAGACGAATGGCTGCACAACACGGAAAACTGTGGAACCAATTGCCGGCCATCTTCGAGGACGTCCAGTTCCGGAGACCCATATTCTTGTCCGACACCGATATGACCAGAATTAAAGTCAGATATATTGAGACTTCAGGTCTGTTTTCAAACTATTCAATAATCAAAATGATTAGAAATACATTTATTAATAATTATAATTTGAATTTCAGGTGAGTTTACAATCCTAGAGAGCGGTAATATAACATGTGTGGGAAGGGTTCGCACCAGTGATGAGTACGCTCTCAATAATCAAAATGATTAGAAATACATTTATTAATAATTATAATTTGAATTTCAGGTGAGTTTACAATCCTAGAGAGCGGTAATATAACATGTGTGGGAAGGGTTCGCACCAGTGATGAGTACGCTCTCAATCTACAACATGTCTTGGTTGACACCGAAGCCCATATGGACGAGGAGTTTGCGGTCAATTTGACCACAACTGATATCTATAAGGATCTCAAAATCTTGGGCTACGATTACGGGCCAAAGTTTAGACGCATCCGATCGATGAAAACAAATGATTTCGAGACAATGAATGGACAAATCAGTTGGGATGGAAATTGGGTCACTTTTATGGATTCACTGTTGCAGACAATGGTCGCTGGAATGCCATTCAGGAAAATGATGGTTCCAGTGATGATTAGGAGCATTCGGTGCGATCCAAAGGCTATGTATGAGGGAATCGCTGCACACAAAACAGCAGAACATAGAGAACGTCGGGCTGTTCTCGACTATGTGATGGATGACGAGAATCTCAATGAATCAAAATGATTAGAAATACATTTATTAATAATTATAATTTGAATTTCAGGTGAGTTTACAATCCTAGAGAGCGGTAATATAACATGTGTGGGAAGGGTTCGCACCAGTGATGAGTACGCTCTCAATTTACAACATGTCTTGGTTGACACCGAAGCCCATATGGACGAGGAGTTTGCGGTCAATTTGACCACAACTGATATCTATAAGGATCTCAAAATATTGGGCTACGATTACGGGCCAAAGTTTAGACGAATCCGATCTATGAAAACAAATGATTTCGAGACAATGAATGGACAAATCAGTTGGGATGGAAATTGGGTCACTTTTATGGACTCACTGTTGCAGACAATGGTCGCTGGAATGCCATTCAGGAAAATGATGGTTCCGGTGATGATTAGGAGCATTCGGTGCGATCCAAAGGCTATGTATGAGGGAATCGCTGCACACAAAACAGCAGAACATAGAGAACGTCGGGCTGTTCTCGACTATGTGATGGATGACGAGAATCTCAATGTAATTGCCTTAAGCGGTGGCGACAAAGCTTTGAATGAGGGGGAAGTGGAGGGCATTTTGTCCACTTATAACGTTGATTACATGGAAGAGTTGTTCGGCCAAGAGTTTCACGTCTATCCGTCGGTATTGCCATTCCATGTGGACATTAATTCACGAATGATTGTCACATACGGTGTGGAGATCGAGGATTTAATGGCTTCGCCAATCGCTCGTAAGTCAAATATGCAAGACTTGAAACTAGAATCGTATCAATTCGTGGCCAACGAAGAGAATATTGCTATTGAAGAATACGACAAGAAATCAATGACAGAGTATCTTAAGGTTTGTATTCATATAAATAATAGTTTAATATGTAATATAATTTAAAAACTTGTTTAACAGATCTGTTCACTAATCGGCAACAAAATTAAAAAATTAAATGAATCAAAAGACAAAAAAGTGATCCAAAATATGACCAACAATTTGGTAAACAAGTACTTAAATGACATGAAAGACAATTATATTTTGCTTAAAATTCTGAACCAAGTCTATAAGGAAAGTCTCGATGAGAATCAAAATATCAATACTAATAAAGTGATCACTGATTTGCAAAATAATCGCGAATATGACTTATCTCTTGATTATATTAATGAAGTTTCAAAGAATGAGCATTTGATTCGATCTCTGGTCGATATTGTGAGCGAGTGTTTTATCCCTAAAAAAGAGATCAAAGTATTGGAACTTAATTTAACAAATGGATTGATGGCTAAAGAAGTGGACACACAGTTGGCCTCATCTCATATCTATCCGATTGATGTCAACTACACTATTGCTGTCAAATCTGTCGGTGCAGTCAGTGATAGCTATAAGAATCAATCATTTAAATTGATTGAATGGAATCCACAGAACAATGTTTTTCCGACTGAAATCAATTCCACTAATTTTATTCTTCTGAAAGACTCAAACGATTTATGGGATATTGATTTAGACACACAATTGCAGGACATGTTTGATGTCATTTCAGACAAAGGATTTTTGCTCTCAGTTTTTAGATATCAATTGACAGAACCAGAGCTCGCATTGAATCAGATAAATGGCAAAAAAGCCCTAAAGAATTCAGACTTAGAGAAACGAATCATTGACTTCATAAAAGCGGCCCAAAGTGTGGGTTTCAATGTTATCGGGCGGAAATTGGATACAATCGGTTCAATGGCTATACTCTACAGAAAATTATTTTGTGAGCCTAAAGTACCAAAAAATGATAATATCATACAAATGACGAGTAATGCCGAGAAATGGTTTGAGACGTTAAAAGAGAAAATTATTGAACAGAAAGAAAACGAGTCAAATGAGACGCTTTGGCTCATTGCAAACGACTCTTCAAACAATGGTATCATTGGTCTCATTAATTGTCTGCGTTTAGAGCCGGGAGGAGAGTGTCTGCGATGTGTCTTCGACTGCGATAACCTCATCGAAGGTTGCGTCAAATTCACTGAAAAGCCGTATTCAGACATTTTGGCAAATGATTTGCCTATAAATGTGCTGAAGAATGGAAAAGTCGGTACTTATAGACACTTCACTCTTGGAAAAAGCCACGAAAAAATAGAGTCAAACGACTATTTCTTGAATGTCGGCCATAACAGAGACTTGGCTTCCCTTCAATGGTATGACTCGAGGAATTTGGTCACAAATAAAGACGATTACGATTTGATAAACACCAAAACCAACAAAACCGCGTGTCATATATATAGCGCTGGAATGAACTTCAGAGATGTCATGTTCGCCACCGGTATTTAATTAACAATAACATTTTTTACCTCAATTCATATGTGAAGATTGTGGCTTATAATATGACCCAAATTGTGGTTAAGCTGCAACATTGCGTGCAAACCTTGTTTTATGACAATTATTTAAACTTGAAATGATAGGTCGTATCGGTTCGGGTCCACAAACGCTTTTTACGGATTGTTTAATTGGTTTCGAGTTCGCCGGCCGTCGGGCCGACACTGGAGAAAGGGTTTGCGGTTTCGATATGAGTCGATGTTATGCCACTTCTATTGACGCAAACGAAGAGTTAATTTCCAGAATCCCCGACAAGTGGTCGATGGACGACGCGGTGTCTGTATTGAGTACTTACAGTACTGTATGGTATGGTCTCATAGAGAGGGCACACATGCAAAAAGGTTAGATCATAAAAATGGATTATTTCAAACAATAATAAGTTGTATATTTACAGGCGAATCAATTTTGATCCATTCGGGTGCCGGAGGTGTGGGTCAGGCGGCGATCAGTATTTGTCAGTTCTATGAATGCGATATTTTTGTGACCATTGGAACCGAAGAAAAGAAAAAATTTTTGATGAATACCTATAATATTGCGGAAAACCGAATATTGAGTTCGAGAAACACTCAGTTTAAGTACAAAATCAAAGAAATGACTCGAGGAAAGGGAGTCGATGTGGTTCTCAACTCTCTGACCGGCGATAAACTGGACGCCAGTTATGAATGTATCGCAGATTGCGGTCGGTTTGTGGAGATCGGCAAATATGACCTCCAAATGAACAAACAGTTGGGAATGTTTCCATTCTTGAGAGACATCTCTTTCATCGGTGTTTCAGTGGATCAAAAACTTTATACAAAGAGGGGTTTCGTTATGCGCTTCTTTGAATGGATGCATCAAAACTGTGACAACGGAATGATTAAACCAATCAATCAAAATGTGTTCAAAGCCGAAGAGGCGGAGAAGGCGTTCAGATTCATGACAACCGGTAAACACATCGGAAAAATTGTGATCAGAATTCGTGACGAAGAAAGCGATAAGAATGCAAAGAGTGCTTTCAATCCCTCTAACAAATTACTCGTCACTCGAAAGACATATTTTAATCCAAACAAGACTTATATCATAACCGGAGGTTTGGGTGGATTTGGTCTGGAATTCATTCATTGGATGACGTTTTTAGGCGCCCGAAGATTCGTCTTGACCTCAAGATTTGGTGTCAAAACTGATTACCAAAAGTTTATTTTAAAACGTTTGGCGTCTTTGGGCGCAAACCTTAAACAATTTGCCACAAAAGTTGTCGTTTTGACTCACGATTGCTATACAACTGAAGGAACGAACAAACTCTTAGCCGAAGCACACAATTTGGGCCCAATTGGAGGTGTCTTTCATTTGGCTCTCGTTCTCAATGACTCTCTTCTTGAGAACCAAACGTTCGATAAATTCCAGGAAACCATTGATTCAAAGACTAAAGTATTTGAGAATTTGGATAAAATGAGTCGTGAATTGAGTATAGATTTGGACTATTTTGTGGTCTTTTCGTCGGTTAGTTGTGGTAAAGGAAACGCCGGGCAATCAAACTATGGTTTCGCAAACTCTGTTTGTGAACGCATTTGTGAATCGAGACGAAGAGATGGTTTGCATGGTTTGGCCATTCAATGGGGACCTATCGGTGATGTGGGAGTATTGGCTGATTCTGAAATCAACACCTCTTTGGCAGCAATTGTTAAACAGAGAGTAAACTCTTGTTTAGAAATTTTGGATAAATTGCTTCAATCGGATAATTCGATTGTTTCGTGTTTGGTATGAATTGTTTGATTGCATTTATGGTAAAATATGTATTAAATATTTGATTGTTTAGGTGAGAGCCAAGAGATCAGTGATGACGGGAACCAAGGAATCCAAACTCGTAAATCAGGTTTGGGTTGCGCTGGGAATCGATCCCAAGACTACTCCCAATCACTTAACTCTGGGAGAGATAGGAATGGAGTCTATGTTTGCGGTGGAACTGCAACAGGGATTGGAGAGGGAGTACGACATTAGAGTGACATTGAATGACATCAAGAATATCACAATAGGAATGATGAAAGACTTACTCTGGGAGAGATAGGAATGGAGTCTATGTTTGCGGTGGAACTGCAACAGGGATTGGAGAGGGAGTACGACATTAGAGTGACATTGAATGACATCAAGAATATCACAATAGGAATGATGAAAGACTTCGAAATCGGAAAAGCGGACGAAATGAAGAAATTCGCCGATGAGATCAAGTCGTGTCGCACGAAGTTATGTAAAGTCAAGTTCATTATACCGAGTGATGCCTGCATTAAGCTTAATAACGTGACGACCGGAAAACCCTTGTATTTCTTTCCACCACTTGAGGGCATATTTACATCATTGGAAGGATTGACGGAAAAGATTGATCGCCCGGTCATTGGTCTGAATTGGACCCGAGATATGGAGAAATTGGGTTCACTTAAAGAGATCACTAAATATTATATACAACTCTTGAAGGCATTGGAGCCGAAGGGAGACTACGATATCTTTGGGCACTTTTACGGAGCGCTCATTGCGATGAAGATGTTGAAGAAGGCGCCGATCGGGAAGGCTATCATAATTGACATGTTGTCTGAGGTCACTCTCGACGAGGATATGATAAGTGACGACAATTTGGTTGAGATTATACTGTCTTTCTGTACGAAAGACTTGCCGACAGTAATCCAGGCGAAGATGAGAAGAGACACAATGTCTAAACCAGACGTTCCCTCAAAACTCGAACAAATCACTACTGAATTGAAAGAGTTTTGCGGCAAAAGTCTCGTGAGTCGAGACTTGGATGAGATTCTGTTGAATTCATACAAAAGAGCCAAACTCTTCACCACTTATCGGCTGAACATGAAATCCAAGTTCAAGAAAATGAAGTTAACTATTGGCGAGAAATACCTGAAAATGAGCGGAAAAATACTTATCATTAAACCGTTTCAAATGGTGGAAGACGTGGCCAACGTTGAGAGGGTCACCGATAAGATCAAAAACGCATACTTCCTGCCCGAACAGGTACTGTAACACAATTGCATTTCATTGTATTTTCAAACATTTCTAACTATATTTGTTGTCAACTCAATGAATGTGAAGGGTTTGGAAGGAAAGCTCAACTTTGAGACCATTGAATCGACGAATACGCAAGACTTGGAGGCACACAAAACCATTGAAAGGATGGCCGCAACTATCAATCAGTACCTCCGAAAGAGATAAGTGAGTCGACCATCACGTTCTGGTCGGTCACCTCTATATAACACATTATTATAACTCTTAATCTAATCCCATATTTTATGTTAAGACTTTCTAAATATATCTATTATATTATACATATGTGTTACGACTTGTGTATAAATTATTTGTTAAGAACTATTTATCATATAATCATTATTTTATTATAATATACTTAACAAATTGCTAATTATAAAAACATTCATTAAAAAACTTGTGCTTTTATTTATATAATTTAATTAATTAAATATTATAGAAATTATAACCAATTTATTTAAAATCTTGTATGGAGATTCATAAACAATTGACAGAAAATGCAAATGGCCACAAACACCGAAGTTATGGTCAAATTTCTTTTGGCCACTTGCATAGGGCTGAATGCGTTGAAAATTGGCTTTTCACATAACTAATGTGACATAAGTAATGCTATTCACAAAAACTATGATGCTACATGTATAAGACGTGTGCACATGGTTAGAAATATGACCATAACTTAGGTGATTATGGCCATTCGCACGTTCTGACGATTGTTTATTAATCTCCATACAATACTGGACATGACCATATCAACCACGATTGGATCAACTAAGGGATATTCATAGTGTTATAGTCCTTCCCCTCTTAGTGTTAATTATTAGAAATAATTAATGGATTTAAGAGGAATTTTATGGAATTAAGTCGTGTTTATCTGAGTATTGAGTTTAATTTTATGTAATGATATAATTTTTATATTCATTGGTTGAGAAATGGCAGACATCTAAAGACAATTCTGTCTGAAATGGTTACTATTATTATAAACTGAAAAATAATGCGTTTTTGATGCGTTAGTCACAGAAAAACTTAACTTTATATATCATAATACAAGTATAATACAAGTAATGTTTGATTCATTTCTTTGAACACAGCTTTAATATTTGTAATAATGAATTATAAATAATTTTTTCTGTGCAAAAGCATCAAAAACGCATTATTTTTCAGTCTATAACTATTACATATTTTATAAAATAACTAATAAATGTCTAACAGCTAGAATAGACATTCAGCCCTAACTTAACCTCATTTGAACCCTCACCCATCCCTTTAATAAACACTGTAGTTTATGAATATGAGTCCCGCAACTCGTCCATGGCCCAAGTAAATAGTCACGTGACAAAATATTGCCAATATTGCTAGTATTGCAATATTACCAGTATTGGTATTACAATAGGAATACCAATATTCTGTATTGTTTGTTTTGTATTGCAATACCAATACTAGCTTTTCAATCTCTATTTTGAAACCCTTGAAATTTAGAAATAAAAAATGATTTTTGTAAGAATAATATAACAAGTTAAAATAAATAAAGTGTGAAAATTAAATAAATTGTTATATTTTTAAAAAATAAATATTTGAATACATGAATAATAATAATTTACACCGAATTTTGTATTTGACAAGGTATAATATTGATACATAGCAACTTTTTTATTTATAAATCTATCCCTTAATTTTAAGCATTACATGTATCTGTCATATAAAATATTTGAATAAACATTTTGAAAGTCTTTATTAATATTATTAAAATTATATTATTGTATATTATTTCTCAAATAATTGTTTACAAATTTATTGATACGAATTGTTTGAATTAATTGATATATAAGTTGATTGCGATAATTATTGTGTTCATGTGTTCGCCTATATCTGAGTCCATCCGATGTTTTGAAGCAATTGTCGACAAAAAGCGCTAATTCTTTCACTTCATGTTTGCTCTGAAGAATAGGAAATACTTCTCCGTCTGAAATATAGTATATTTGTTGTTAATAATCAATCATTCATTTGACAAATGCATTGTAATCAGTATTGTCTCATCACTACAATCGTCATAAGTAAATAAGAAATCAATGTTAATCAATCAGTATTATATGGACAACATTGTTAGACAATTATTCCCAAGGTAACATTTAAATTACAGTAATTACTTGATTTTCAATCAGTTCTCATGTTATATTTAAACATAATTAACTATATTATGTAATACTACATTAAATGCTAATAATATTAGTAAAAATAATTTTTGAAATATTTTATTCTATAGACAAAATATCGTCAATTGAAATATCGAGTTTTAGACATAAAAACTCAAAATATTCAATTTTGCAAGTGACGATATTTTGTCTATAGAATGGAATTTTACAAAAATTATTGTTATACTAATAATATAACACTAGCCAATAATTACGAATATATAGCCCGTACATTACTGATCGTAATTTATTATTTTTTGAAATAATTGAAATAATATTTTGTCAAAATTAAAATTCACTAATAACTGGTCGGTCAATGTATTTGCATTGATTGCATTTCAAGTGTAATTTGACGCTCCACTGACTCTAGCCTTATCAGTGCTGCGCTTATCACTCATCCCATCAAATATTTTATTTTTTTATTTGAGTGTCTAATAATAAATAGTAGGATTTTTTTAAAAAAAAACCCCATAGGTTAACATACAAAATTGCCATAGTTTCGTGACATGCTGTGTAAAATCCAGCAATTCAATGAAGGTGATTCTAAGTTATTATTATACTTTGATATCTCCTCTACAAAATAGCATACCCGTCCCCTCCCGACCCCCCTTTCAACTTGGCAAAAACCATGACATTTCGAAATGACCCAAAAATTTATATGATCTAGTCACGTGATTTCAATAATTTTTTCTAGAAAAATACTAGACATATGGACCAACATATTACAGTTTACAGATTTGATCTAGCTCATTTCGTTTGGGAGATACAGTGCAACTTCTCTTGGGGGAACTTCTCTTGGGGGAACTTCTCTTGGGGGAACCCCTGCTCATAGGGAACTGATTTGAAATTTACGTTGGATTTCCTATACTTATAATGTTAACATAACCTCTCTTAGGGGAACTTATCGGTAAGGAATACCTCCCCATTAGGAACGGATTTATAGAGATTAAGATAAAACTTCCACTCCCCATAAGGAACAAAGATAATCATAAGCAAATGATATGTAAAATATTTAAAATATTCTCAAACCTAAGTCTTTAAACAAACAGATTTTAATTTAAAGTTTCATTCAATTCTGTAAGAGTTGTGATAAACACTACATTCATAGTTTGATTAGTGAATTATTATAATAGTGTAAATTAATTTGTTCATTTAATTGTTATAAAATGTCTCAAAAAGACAATAAATTGATTTACAGACTAAATATAATGAATTAAAAAAAAACATTCAAAGACATGGAGTCGGCTTAGGAAGAGCGGAATAAACATTTTCAAATATTAGTCAAAAATAAGACATTTTTATTCAAACCTCCCTTGGAGGAACCCTCCCTATAGGGAACACTTTTGCCGTGCAACTGGCCGTTCCCTATGGAGAAGTTGCACTGTATAAAGATTTCTGAGGCGACAATAGATAATGACGGACTTGATATAATTATTTATATATTAATTTTAATACAATATAAGAATAACTTTGCAAAAGTGCGAATTGTATGTAAACCAAGAACTAATAAAAATTATAATGTATTGTCGATGAAAGCAAAGGCAGGCAAAGCTAACTTTTTGAAAACCGATGGTTATAAACAGGGCTAGGAATCAATTAGTCATTTAATACAGACTCGTCAAAGTTGTGTGTTAGTCAAAAAGTGAGCTGATCAAAATTCTCTATTCATCTAATGCTAAACATGTACATGTATAAAATACAGTAGGTGCCATAGTCAATATTGTATGTTGAGAAAATGTTTATTATATATAGATTGAAAAATAATGCGATTTTGATGCTTTTGCACAGAAAAAAGTATTTATAATTCATTATTACAAATATTAATTTAATAAATTATTAATTTATTATTATATTTAAAAAAATATATTATTATTATTATTAAAGCTGTGTTCAAAGAAATGAATCAAACATTACTTGTATATAAAGTTAAGTTTTTCTGTGACTAACGCATCAAAAAACGAATTATTTTTCAGTTTATAATTATATAGCTTTTTGTAAAGACTTTTTGTAGAGTCATAGCTCTAGTTATAACTTATAAGATCATTTCAAACACTTTATTTTTATTATAATTTTAAAAAATAGTTTGATAAATAAATAAAAAGACTTGAAACCTTAAGATTTGTAATTTAATAAAAATTATTTTGATATTATATTATTTAAAAATCAATACAAAGAATGAAATATTAGATAAAGATTTTGCAAAACTCACTGACTCGTAATTTTACGCATTAATGGATGAGTTGTACAATAGATATTTTCATTTTTAATTACATACACTTTACAAATAGTAATAATTAAAACAACGAATATACTTGTTTTATAATTCATGTTTTTGTATTAAGATTGACACAATCTGATTTTCAAAGTTTTAGTTTTGAATTAAGTTTACATAATATTTGTTCCGTAGTTTTATATGATTTTTATATAAATGATATAATGAATGTTTCAATAATATGTGGTAAAACTCATTAATTATTGGTTCTTTTCTCACAATTTCATTATAATATTAATGAATAAATTATTAGATTCAGATAAACTCAAATATAAAACATATAATTATAGTATTAATATTTAATAATATATAATTATAGTTTCAATAGAATCCCACGTGTCTTATGGTAATTAAGAATCTCATAATAAGAGACTTTTATGCGGAATAACTTAATTTAATATAAAATTATAAATTAAATAGATATTAGATTTAATTCTTGCGATTGAGAATTGTGTTGTATTTGAGGGGTAAATGAAGTTTGAGTGTCAGTCCAGTTATGACCAGAGCTCGGATTGGTACGAAATAAACGTGGTAGCGTCACTTGTATTTCTCAACAAAAGTAAATCAATATACAATATATCGGATCCAAACTCGCATGGAAATGCAAGTTTAGATCAAAATTTACTCCAAACTTGCATTTATATGTAAAGTTTATATGTAAAATTTATATGCACTTTATGTTGTACTTTATGTATATTAACATT